ATCACCAGGAGCCGAAGAAGCCCAAGAAGCAGTGTGGGTGTGGAAATCTTCGTCCTGCAAGTTTTTCTTGTTGCGAAAGTTTTTTAATAGTTTGTTGGCGCTTTCGCTGATTTGCTGCTGCAAAGCAAAGTTTCTTTTTTCCCAGCAGGTCTGCCAGGCGGTCCGAGGGCGTCCGAGGAGATCTTAAAGTATGCAATGCAGCACCATTCCCTGGCATGCTAAATTTCAATGGACTTGCTAATGAAGACTGGCTGCTGGCCGACGTACTAGCTGCTCCTAATACGCAAGTAGTTTGGCCTCCACGTGACATGTTGGTAAGTTCTTTTTTGTTGCTACACTTTTGTAAATGTGATGCATACTGGCATTTTATGGAATACGAGGGTATAATGAGCACAAGTAGTTTTATAGAAATGTAAAATTCACTTTTAGGGGTGATACAGAAATCACTATGGCCTAAATGATTTTATAAAATGTGGTATTGTAAAAATAAACAATTTCAATTCATAATAAATTTGCAATTTATACTTTTCAGACAGGCCAAAATGAAAAGGTCTTTAATAATGGAATATTTATGTGGACAACAAGGTGATTTGTGCATTTATTTTCGTCCTGAATATTTTCTTTTATTTATTATACTGAATTACTATTTGAAATTGCAATGGCGGGGTATCTGCCAGTCGGAAAAACTGTGTCCATTTTCCAGTTACTGCCCCGATTTTTCTTCCATTCTATCTGCAAGTGGATGCGACGTGTCCGCAATAATTTGGCCGCTCTTATGCACGGAAAGTGAGCCCCGGCAAAGGCGACTGCGAATAGGAATATGTGTCAGGCGTGGCCGGAGAAAGAATGAAATAAAAGAGGAGATTTGTCACATTTTGTAGGCTGGAGCAGGAGAACTAAGAGGCGACTTAAATAATCAACTAAGCCAAGTGCGACAACTGCGACAAAGTGTGCCGCACCAAATGAAGAAAGTTCGCGCTGTCTTTGCCCAACGCATCGGCTTTCTTTGGTTTTTCTAGGCTGCAATGCGAAAAAGTCGTAGAAAAGTAGTTAAACTTCTGCCCTGGTTTTTCTTTTCGCATCTCCCGCCTGACATAATTCGCAAAAAGTGCGCGAGGCGCCATCGCTGAACGATATGTATGTATGTATGTAGCGGTAGTAATAAATTCCTCCAGTCGTGCCACAAAGTATGCTAAAGTTGCCCCTTTTATGGGAGCACGCTGCTCTTTGCAGCAATTTTTTCATATGTTTGTGTGAAAAGCAGATAGCTATAGAAAAATTTCAGAAAAGTGCTGCTGCAATAAGCGAATAATTCGTACGACAAGTTGCAGTGAGGATTATGACTGTAATGAATATGAGCAAATTCCTTAGAGGATTTTTAAGTACGTCAGCGTTAAAAGGATAGAAAAAGGTTCAGGTTTGAAAAGCAAGCTTAAGCTATTAAGCTTTAAATGTAAATGTTTAATTAAAATGACATCAAAAATAGATACAAATGAAACTGTAACTTAATCTGTGGCAAACGGGGAATTAAAATTTTTTTACCTTAAATAAAAATACACCTAAATAACGTTAAAAGGAATCTGTATTTATGTCAGCCAATAAATACTACATTTCTGTTGCTTTTAAATAATAAAACCAATTATTCAGAATATATTGCATTTTAAAATCGCCCAACTTATCCCAAAGCAAATCCTTTATGTTTAAGCTGCTCAAAAAAATAAATATAAAATTTAAATAAGTTTTAATAAAAAAAAAAAATGTAGTTAAGCTGCCACACAAAAGACTTTTGTTTGTGGCATCAATAAAATGAGAAAATTAAATATGAGGACAAAAAAATGCGTATGCATTTTAATGGTTTGGATAATTCGTTTCACTTTTGCCTTTGACCTTCGCCCCGACATTGAGGACTCGATTAAAGCCGCAAAGCAGCAATTTCAGTCTGGATCACGCCCCCAGCAAAAAAGGGGAGGGGGGCGGTGTGGGTGGCTGAAAACAAATAGCAACAACGTCCCGTTATGGCCAAGTTCAGGCCAATGTCTGGCGGCGTCTGGGGCACGTGCTGCCCAGATTCATCTCCGTCAGCAGAAGCAGCTCAGCTCCAGCTTGAACATTTCATACTCTCACAACCAGATTCACATTCAGCTGCAGCTCCACCATTTCTCTCCATTTAAATGGGATGCGCCGGGAGGTTGGGAAAAAATTGTGAAAAATTTGTAACCGAGGCGTTTTGTTTGCTCTCGTTTGCTTTGGTCACGGATACCACCAGACTGCCATGCCAGTCAAGTCAAGTAAACATGATGTGCGGGGTCTAATTTTTCCCCTTTTTTTTTTGCAGCCATCCAGCCAACCCGTAAGCCCCCCCGTTCTCCTGTCCGTTTGCCTTCCCGACTTTTTCCTCATCTGTCTGTGAGCTATATGGTTGCACAATATTTTACATTTTCATGCATGACGCGTTTAATCACGTGATGCATATGATTTTTAGCCAGCCCAGGGGTAGAGCGTCGAGTTGGGGGACGAATGGATGGATGGTTGGGTGTTGGGGCTTCCCCTCATATATTCATGCATACAATTCCATCAGCATGAATTATGTTTTGCATACTTTCAGGCCGGGCCTGTGCTTGTTTTGCGTTTAGGTCTTTTGGCGCTGTCTGGCGCATTCTTGTAGCCCTTGATGCCCTCCGGCAGTCGCCTTTCATCTCGCCCTGAGAGATCCCACTCGCCACAAGTTCCCCTCTCTCTTTCTCTTTTTTTTCCAGATCCTTTCTGGGGGTGTTGGTGTGGGTGGACCACTCAAAAGTTGTGGATTAGAGCGTGTAATTTTAGTAAAAAGCGCCAACGAGCCGCACTTTACATGCATGCCAACAGATGTGGTCGAAAAAATGGGATGTTATGAGAAAATCAATACTCTTTTAATAACATATTTTCTCATAAAACCCACCATTTGATTTAGAACATTGTTTTGTATTTAAATAATTTATAGGCCTTAGAGTGAATTTTATTTATAAGAATGCCTGTTTGCTTGCCCTCAACTGTGTGTTGGTGTGCGGGGAATCCCCAATGAGCGGTTGTTGCCATATTTTAAGTGTTTTCTGGTTTTCGGCACTGTGCAATGCGCTTTTAATTCCTCTTGCAGCGCTCTCGCCTGTAATTTATGTGCTTAACTTTCGCACTTGGCTGGCTGGCTAAAACAGTCACCGAAAAATCGTCATAAAAATAGAAATATATATGAACACTCTCGCACTCGGCCGTTTCACACTTTTGCGCCTCTAGCCGAGGAGTTGCGGTGACGGCGGAAAATGAAAGCGAACCCACAAGGACACCAGCAGGACGAAAAGGCCGAGGCGACCGAATATATTCGAGTGAATATTTATGAGCAACAAAAGTAGCATTTGTGCTTTACATTCCGACTTTATTGTGGCCATTGTTGTAGCCTGGAAAGTTGTTGTTTTGCGAGCAACAGTCCCGGCCATCGTCAGCATTCCAGCCGCCTTTTAAGGCAGATAGTGTTGGTGTTCTTGTAGCTGCACTGGGGAAAAAGTATACTTTTGACTTTGTTTTAAAATAAATTATTATTAACGTGATTCTAATTTAAATATATTTATATTAAATCTATGATCTTCATGATTTAAAATATGTATTTTAAATAAAAGAACTTTAGTTATTAAATACTTTAATATAGAAAATTATCAAATAATTTCTTTCTAATTTCCCTTAGTTTTTCTCTGTGTAATTTGATGCTGCTAGTGGTGATGTCGTCCTCATTGCTGTCAGCATTTCCGACGCTGATGAGTTTATGCTTGGGGCCCGTATTACTTTATTCCGGCATATTCCTAGCCCCTGGCCACCACTTCCCCTCCCTGGTGGTTTGCCCCACACACACACTCACACACCGACACACTGAAAGAGTCACCCATTCATGACTGTCATGAGTTTTCCGAAATTGATGGTCTAATTATGCCGCCAACACTACATTTCATGACTTTGCTGGTCGAGCCAACACGCAGACGAAGGCCACTGACGACGAGGGCTATTCCGGGGGGCATTGTACTATAATTTAATGGAAAAACATTTTGCCACACATCTGCAGGGACGGAAAATGGTAGCTGGAGCCAAAATGGAGTCGAGAGCCACTCCACAGTTTGACAGCCCTTGGTAGCCTGTCGTTGGTAGCGGGTTGACATTTTAGCAAGAATTTATCGCCAACACAACAGGAAAATATGTTAATGCAACAGTTTGGGATTCTTGAGCATATGCTTTTGAGTTTAGGAGAAATTTGGGTGGAAAGCATAGACCAATATAGGTTTTAAGGGGATATTCAGTGGGTTTTTAATTTGTTAATTTGTTGTTGTTTGACTAAATAAAATAAAATCTTAAGGAATTCTTTAAATATATTTAAAATATGTTAATGTAAATAGTAAGATCGTTAGCTTTAGGCTTTAATTCGAGTTTATTTAAAGTCTTTTACCCTTTTTTACCCTTATTATAATAATTTCCCATTAATTAAGATTGCCTTATGAAAGGCTTACTGGCTTACTTTATTAAAATAAACCTGATTTTGTTTGTAACTAATTGATTCGTCACCATTTTTTTGTCGATTTAATTGAGTTCCATTCACTCGGGAGTCGAGAATCGAGATTCGCTGCCGGGCTTTTGCTTAGATCTCCCAAAGCCTAACTGGTAATTACCATACAGAAACCAATGGGGCGTATCAAATATGTTCACACTTCATAATATTTGCATATTAATGTGCATACCATATATGTATAATTAGCTCCGCAATAATTAATGCCCGAAACAAGAAACCTAATCGAATGCTGCCGAGTAGCAAACAGATGAATTAGCCTTCTTCCCTCTGCAGGCGACGACGGCTCTCCTAATGAGAATCCATGGCTCCGGAGAATATTTGATGTGTGAACTTAGTTAGTTAGTTCTTGGTGAGTGTTCTGAGCAGAAGGTCTAGCCAGTCAGCAGCAGATCGGGCTCCAAAGCAGCCTTTAAATATGTATCCAAATTGGCCCGTTCCGCTCCACTTGACGCTGGTGTGCCTGGTCGTTGTTGTGGGCCAAATATTTGCACAGCCGCTGACAAAGTAGGTCGAATCCGCACGTGAGTGTGTGTGCTTTAGTGCTGGCAACAACCTGATACGAGACTAGAAAAGAACGATAAAAATAAATGGTGGGAAAGGAAAGACAGTTTAAAAAAAATCCAGACTGAAAAAAGGATAGTAATTTAACTGATCAATCTTCTAGCGATAAAAAGACTAAAAGATATTACTTAAAAGGTTAGAAATAGTTTCTACAATCAATCATTAATTTCCTTGAAAAACTTGAGGCTTACTTGTTCGCTTAATTTGTAATAATAACCTTCAGATTTATCTGGAAAACAGGAAAATCGGCATCACTGCTAAGTGGTTTCGTGGGTTGTTGCCTAGTTTCACGTTTAGCGGGTCAATCTATTGAGCCAACTATTTGCTTACAGGAACCGCAGCCCTTTGACCATCGAATCAGCGGCTGGCCAGATGGTTGAGGAAGCGGCTCTGCAGCAGCATCTCCAACAAATCACGGGCAGCGAAGCGTTGGCGCCATTGTTGCTTCAGTTAGTGGGCCAAACTGTGCCAAATTGGCAGCAGAAACAGCAACAGCAGCCACAGCAACAGCAGCAGCAGCCGCAGCAACCCAAACAGCAGCTACAACAGGCCACAAATCAGCCGCAACAACAGGGGGAGCAACACTTTTTTGTTTATGAAAACGCGGCGAGTCAACAACCCCAGATATTGGCCGGGTTCAATGGCGTCAATGGGCGACCTGAGCTACAGCAGCAGCAGCTCCTGCCAAAGCCCATTCAGGCGCAACAACAATATCCCGCCGAATCCAGGCCAAAAATCGTTAAGGCGCCGCCTGCGGCAGCCCTTTGGGCGCCGGCATTGTCGAACCTACCGCAGCTCAACCAGTCGCTCTTGAGGCCCCAGACGACGATGTAAGTAAACACACTGGAAACTGGAAACTCCGCAACTATACATATAATCCATTATTTGCATTAAACAATGCATTTTAATTAGCCCATCCCCCGCAAATGCTGCAGCGCCGGCAAGTTGCCAACTCTGCTGCAATCCATCGGAACTTGCCACGCCCACGGCCACGCCATGTCCGCCCTCCAATGTGGGCTACGAGACGGTACCGCTGTTGAGTGCCACGGCGCTCAAGGCGGCAGTTGGTTAAGTTTTTAATTAAATCGCTGGCATAATTAATAATAAAGATGCGCATAGACAGTCGAGGAGGAAAGTGTTGCATACTCTCGGGCTGGCCGATAGCTTGCGAGTGTGTGTGTGTGGCATAGAGGAAGTGGGGCTTTGATGGTATTGAGTGCCTGCATGTGTGTGCATTTAAGCGACATCAACAGCAGCTGTGCCAGATAAATTTTTAAGAGGCGGAAGCTGCTTGACGGTGCAGTTGGATTATTAATTGGGAAGGGAATATGGAATAAGAAAAATGAGGTCCATTTGCACAGGTTATTATTAGCATTACCTAAGGGGAGATGTTGAAGAGTGGCTAAGATATTATATAAATTAGTAATTAGTCAAGAAAAATATTTAACTTGTGATCCTATTTTACGTTTAACAATGTGCTTTAAGCCTTTAATGACTTAGAGGGAGTGAAAGAATAAACAAAAAGTTCAAAACACTTATTTTTAGACGGCTAAGAATAGGACATACTTAGGAAAAGTACTTCACTTCAAGGAAAAAAGGATAAAATGATTATTCTAAAAGCTTTTGAAATGCTTTTCATGACATTACGCATACGCACTGTTGCTTCCGTTTAAAAATAATAGTTCTATGTAAGTTACAGCTATTTAAAATGTTTTAGACAAACCTTTTTTATGAATTCTTATGGAACAAATTATTTTCAAGTATGCTTTGAACGAAAATCAAAAAGATATAACAAATAATTCACAATTTATAAAGCAAACTGTAAACTTGTACACAATTAAATGCCTCTTCTTCAGCCTGTGAGTACAGATTTTCCCAGTCTGATCCTAAAGGACTTACCCTGCCCGATTTAGTTGTCAGTGACGCAGCCCGCTGCCAACTTCTCGAATAATATGTGTGACTTATCTGTCATCGGGGCCTTACTGCACAGTGCACTCTGAGCCTTAGCCGCCACCTCTCGCCATCGTCGTCCTCACCGTCTGTCTGAGCTGTCACAGAACTCAACACAAAAGTAAAGCATGCAACTAAAAACAATTTCTAAAAATATATGTACGTGAATAAAACATGCAACACGAAAAAACCGCAAAAAACACTTCATGTTGAGTGCGACTCGCAAATTGTTGGGCGGGCGACGTCAGCTTCCTCCCTCCGCCCAGAAACAGAGGCGAAATAATAAATAAAAATCCACAAAATGTGAGTGTGTGTGTTTTGAGTCTGCGGCGGAGTGTTTTCCGCAAGTGTTCGAGCGGGAAAATGAAAGTGCTGAAGTGTCGCCCATTGTTTGTGCTGCAGCACAGAGGTTCTGTTCCCTGCATTTGCATTGGCCACCGAGAGTTGATGACCGGAATAGTCAGCGGTGGGTGACCGTAACCCTAAGGATCAGTAAAGGGTTTCTTTGGAAACAGAGAATCAAATTAATAAGGGCTAAGTAGGGTCTAGAAGCGTTACTTCTGAACCAATTTAATTATTTAGCTTAAATGTTAAAATAACACATTTTAAATACCTAGCAGCCTTTGGAAGGAAATTCTATTTACAATTTAAAATTATTGTATTTTTATTTTTAAAATTTCTGGATTACTAAAAATTTTTTGTTTAGTTGCTCACTTTTGGTTGTTTCAAGAATTAAATCCCGTCGTGGAGGTGGATCTCTGGATCTGATGTGAGTACTGGAAGAGGGGTCCTTATTCCGATTACCCTTTGTTGTCATTGGCACTTTTGTAGACATTTTATAGGGCTCCCCATTCGAGGTCTCTAATTTCAGGCACGCATAATCAGGGAGCGTGGCTAATTAAATTCTAAACATTCGCCAGCATCAGCTCACTAAAAAATGTTTTATATGACGCTGGATCTGAGCCACCATCCCACCCTTCCGTATTCCCATTCCCCCCCCTAGTTCTACCTCTGTCCCAATCTCGAGCTTGTGCTTTGTAATTGCAGATCCCGGACTTCGTGCACGCCCCTATGCAAATGGCACAAAGCTGCTGCTGCTGCTGTTGCTGTTGCTGCTTTTGTTGTCGCTGCTACTGCACTGCAAAAAAAAGTATTTCTAAAATTTAATTTAAAAAAATGATTTCTTTGTATAAGTTTGCTTTAATTAATAGACAGATATGATTATGGTTATGATTTGTTAAAAGGATCCGAAAAGAAAGTTTTACTTCATAAAAGTGAGGATAATTTTTGATATTTATAATATCGAAAAGGCGCTTTTTTACATATAATAGAGTTTAGCTTTTTCAATTATATTTTATTTAAATACCAGTTCAGTACTTTTTTTCCCAGTGTTACTGTTACTGCTTCGTGTTGTTCTCTTTGTGCCCATCTGCAACCTCATCTCATCTCGCGCTGACGGCTTTTGAACTGCCTTCGTTTGTTGTCGTTGTCCTCCTCGTCGTTGTCGTTGTCGTACTCTAAATTAACTGTTTCGTTACGTCAGCGCTGTCTTTTGTGCGTTGACAGAAGCGGCGATGGCTGTCGTCGCTGCCTCCGCCGAGTCCTGTTTAGTTGCAAGTTTGTATGAGGCAGCCGTGCGTGCCCGGGCGCCTGGCAATTGGAGCAATCAGCCAGCTCAACTCAGCTCTCGGCTCGGCTCAGTCCGCTTTAGCTTCAGACAGCCAATCCGCCAGGACTTTTGGGTAGTCGGCACTCAGTACTCGGTGCGGAGACAGTTGGCTTTGTCTTGTCAGCTGCTGGGGTCCTGGCACATTCCTGATTGGCATTTACAATTAGCGAGTAGGCAAATATAGGGATACAGGGGGGGAATTGCACAGGTTCTGGTGCCAAAACAAACGAAAATCCCCTTTCAAGAGATCAAGGCTGTAAAGCACCCTCAAGAGCTGATCCTTTGGTCAAATGAAAGCAAAACCGATTTCAATTTCAATAAGTTTATTGAAAAGAATCAAATTCAATGGATTTTCTCACTGCAATTTTAAACCTTTCAATACTTATTGTGACTTATGTTTTAAATAGTAATCGTTTGGATATTACCTTATTTATATTTTGTTTTAGTTTATATGAAAAATAAATGTATTTAAAAGGAAAAATGTGATAAAATGGATAAATAAATATTCATTTTTCATAAATAATAAATTCGCAAACTAGTACCAGGGGTATCCGATAAACTAACGATAAACTAACGTTAACTTTCCGCCTAAAAGTATGCGTGCAATATTAAGGCTCACGCACACAGGGACACGCACTGGGGCTCAGGTGATGCCTGTGGGTGTGTGTGTGTTTGTGTGGAAATGGAATAATGTACTCTTAATTTGTTATGCGTGTGTGATTAATGATCCATGCATAACGATAACTTTGACTCATTACACCTGCTGATTTATCGCTGTCAACGGGCGGTCCACCCTGTCACGCTCCTACATCCGTCGTCCACCCCACCTCACCCCCCTGCACACACACATTCACACGCCATTACAGCGACATGGAAATGAATTTTGAATTTTGATTCTGCCACTTTCGCTTAATCATTTCGCAATTAGCCCGCATTGTTAGGGCATTTGCATTGATTTATCGCTGTTGTCGCCAAGACTGCACAGTTTTCGATATTACGCCGTTTGATTTTCCCCACTGCCGTTTTTAATTTTCCCATTTTCCGTGTCAATTTATTTTCCACTATTGCCCAATTAATTACACTTTGCGGCATTTGCATTTCACGTGGTCTTTATGGCACCATTGCATTTTCCGCTCTTCCCTGTTTTCCTTATTGCCGTTTACTCGATTTTCCCTTTCACTTGTCATTGGCCAGTGAATTTTTTTGGTCTTCGGTGAGTGTGAAGATTAAGTGGAATGGTTGGAAATGCAAGAGACACTGTCCTGCAAACAGGAAACTTTGATTTTTGGGAAATATATATATTTTGAATTTACTTTAATTTGTTGATTTTGAAGGCTAAAACTCTTTAATAATATATTTTATTTGACCTAACTAGGTCTCATCTTTATCTTCACAATCATGCCGGGCAGTGTAATTTTTGGGCGTGGCAGCCAGGTGTCCCGCCTGCGCTAATGACCCATATTATGCGGTTATTTCTGCAGTCCCTCGTCCGTGTGCGGGTTTGTGTTTGTGCAACTGCAAGTGCATTTGCGATGACAGTTCGAAATGTGTTAAGTAATTGCAAAGGCCTTCGATGAGTCGCCGGTCTAAAGACCGCGGCCGGGCGGAGGCTGATGAACTGCAGTTAATTGAAGTCTATTTGGGTTGATGGATGTCTCGGCCGGTTTGAATTAACAACGATGTGTGCCCGGGGGAGTGGATCTTAATTAGGGTATTGGGTAGGTAGACAAACGGCCGGGTCCGGCCTCTCTCCGCTGACAAAGCCAAGATTAAGCGGGTTAGTCCGAGTTGGGCAAGATCGGGGGACCGATGCGGCATTGTTTCGTGGGTTGCATTTAGGTTTTGATTTCATTTTTGATTCCATAAATTTATTTTTTTTGTTATTTTATATTTTTAATATTTTTTTAAGGTTACCTAAGACTCGATTATTACTACTTTTACACTTTCATTAGCCCCCAGATTTAGAAAAACCATGAATGAGATCGTGCGCAATGGAGCCGCCTTTGTGGGCCTGTACCTCCTAATGCTGGCCGTTCTGGTTCGTCCGCAAATGAACTTCAACATGTACATTAAGTCTTTTTTTCTGCAAGCGGACTATAGCGCGGTGATGGTGCTGACCTACCGCTTCGACGCCTACATGGCCCTGGTAGCCGCCCCACTTAGTGGTGGAACTGTGTACGCCCTGACCCAATGGAATATTCAGTGCGAGAATCCCAATGCCCGGAAGACGATCATCACGGCTGTGGTCTGCAGCTACATCCTGGTGCTGTCGGTCAACTTTCTGGCCAATGTGATGGTGCTGCAGCAGGCGCTGGTCCGCTTCGACCAGTGTCCGCGGCAGGCGTGGCCCATGTACTGCCATATGGCGGGTTCCTTTATCAAGTCGGCGTTGGCGGACATGCAGAGCGTGATAACCAGGCAACATGTCAAGCGAGTCCGGCTGACGTATCGCCTGCGTTAGTCCTGGTGTTTTGGATAGGCCACAGATAAGTCATAATGTTAATAAAGGGTTTAATGGCAATACAACTCAGATTGATTGCCACCAAAGCTACGGAAGTCAAATAAAGATTAGAGGTGAAAATAATGTGCTTGCCGTATCAATTAACATATTTATTGGAGACTCTGTTTCAGCTTTGTCTGCTTTAAATTCCAATGTATCATAATTTCATCGGGGCACTAAGTGCAAGTAAATTACTTTGAGGAGGTGATTACTTACCGGCTGCCTCATGTGTCAAATCTGTGACTTTATCTGGACATTAACACGGAAACAATGAACCCAAAGTTCATGTCTGAGGCTGTGATGGGGTCTCGGGATGGCGTCTGGGGGGTGGTTTCTCGGCGGCAAATGGTGTGCACAGTTTCTTGCGGTCGAAATGCATATTAGAATTAATGCGATTTGCATTTGCTTCGGCCTGCATCGATAATGATGCGTTGCCCGAGGCGACACTTGCCTGTTTGTTTCGGTTTCCCAGTCGGGGATTGGGTTTTGGATTGAGACGGATTGAGGTGGAGGAGACTGGGGCGTGCAACATTTGTCTAGGGAACCGCAGAGACCGAGGTGGGGCATCATCCGACGAGTAAGTAATTTTGCGGTTGTATTCCGGTGCACGTTGCTTTGAGGCTTCAGTGTCGGTGTCGACTTCCAACTCTATTGGCGTTGTGGCATGGGCCTTTGGCAAATAGTTAAACGCAAACAGAGTCCGCAGACCCCCCGAAAAGCCGGCGGGTGGAATGTGGCCTCGGATAATTGGAATTGTGTGCCCCAGCTTGAGCCAAAGTAAAAATTATGAAGCTCTCTCACTGCGATATTATTCCGACGTAAATTCCCAGCAAAATGTTTTACATATATTGCCATAAAAAAAAAAAACAAAAACAAAATACATTGTTTTCTCCGCTGCTCAAAAACATGTCTTTGATCTCCGAAACATGTGCACAAAAACGAAAACAAAAAGAAAATAATACAAAAAATAATACAAAATTAAAAACGGGCCAATTTACACACAAAAGGAAAAACGAAAAATACACAGAAACTTTGTGAATATGCATATGCAAAATACAAATCGCAAAACAAATTAAACGAAACGAAATGTAAGTGCTTAAAACAATGCCAAATGAGTTCTGACTTTGAGCCGCAGGCTTTAAATATTTCCACAAAAAAATGCGAGAAATGCTGGGAATGTCAGGTGGCGGCGGGGAGCCGCTGGGGAACGGGTTTCCCCGAGACACTAAAACTTATTTATGCCTGCCTTTCGATGACGGGGGTGGCCTCTCCTTCTCAGTGACTCCAGGCGTGTGCGCCTGACAGCCCAACATCCGACGGTATTGGAACATGCTAATTTATTTTCAAACTGCGGGAAATAACGCTTCCCATCGAGGGCTGTAAATCAGAGCGGAACTGGTTAAACCCCGGCGTTTGACCATCTAAGTTTAGCCTAAAAAATGAAGAGCGATTTGTCTCAGCTTGAAGTTTAGAATTCCCCAGTAGTCATCGGCAATGAAATAAAGAAATTTGAATTTTAGCAGAATTTAGCTTCATCGACTGTAAGAAATTAAGTTAAAGTTAGAGTAAGGTTAAATTGAAAGTGAAGGTAAATTTATTAATTTTAAAAACCATAAAACCATATGTATCTTGATATTATTATATTAGGAACTGGTTTCATATTAATAAAGATTTTATTAAAGGTACAAAAAGGTAAGAATGACACGCTTAATTTAAGTTTTTGTTTTAAATTTAAATAATTCGATTATAAGTCTAATTATATTTTGAGTCAAGAGGGTAGAGCCTCCATTTATTATTCATTCCATTAATCAATTATCAATTATCAAGGTTGTTGAAAGTCTTGTTCATTTAATAATTTGTTTATACAGTATTTATCAACTTATAACATTTATTTTAGTATTGAATTAAAAAAAAAGTACAAATATGAAATAATTGTTTTTCGGCAACATAAATAAATGTTGCTTGGCATGTTCCCAGTAGTATTTGCTGAGCAATTCTATGTTTATTATGCAATCCACTGTAGACTTAAGTACTCATATTAAATATATCCATAATGTATAGTTTTCTTTAATGAGATCATAATGATAATATGACTGGCTGATTTGGTACTCCCTGGCTCTTACTTCTAAATTAAATATAAAATGTTAATATTTATATTTCAAATTCAAAGTACTTGGTACCAAAAGAGCTAAACATTTGCTTTCGCAATACAAATCTGGCTTAGATTTCCTTAACTCTTATCTTAAGTGATCGTAAAAAGGCCGCCATTAAAGAGAGCGCACTTTGAAGCCTGTTCTAATTTCTTTTTGCTGTATTTAGTCGGGCTCAACGCCGCTACCTGTTTGCATTGGATAAAGATATAATCGCGGGAACGGGGTTCGGCCCTGCCTGGGATATTCCCGACGGGATCAGGGGAGATGTTATTGAACCGCTCAAAGGATTATCAGTGCATAAAGTGACAGTCGGGCGACAAAAATTGAAATGTCAGATCATTGCTGGCCAATAAAAAGCAGTGATTGATGTGCCAATTTGTATATTGTCGATTAACATGTCTTCCCCGTCCCCTCGCATCCGCGGAACCACGCTGCGGCTACTTAATTACGTATACGCACGGGCACAACACCCAAGTTCAGTGGTACAAAGCGAGTGCAATTAATATTTTTATTACGTATAATTTGGATTAATTGCCGCGCACATTCCATGAATCATCCCATCAAATGTGTGTCAATGCGAGCGCCTCATAGTCCAGCATCCAGCATCCAGCATCGAGCGTCCAGTAATTTGCATTTCTTTTGTCCCCAGTCCCTGACGCCACAAACCCGATCTCCGGATTCCCTCAGGTGTTCCTGACCTGTGTTCCTCGCCTCAACGTGTGTCACTCACTCCGCGAATCCGAATCTCAGTGTCCGAGACCGAAACCGAAACCGAATTCGAGTCCGAATCAGCATCGCAATCAGAGTTATCTCGACTCCGCTTGACGCTCGGTTGGAAACCCAAGTTTTGAAACCGGATTTGCATGCCAACAAAGTGAGGAACCGGAGGACGGGGCACCCGGGGAGTGCTGACAAACAAAACAAATCAAACGAAATGAAATTCTTTCGGCTTTCGCCTGGCTTTTGCTTTAAATACAAAATCGCACGGCTCAGAACATTAGACTGGTTTAAGAGCTCGAATTAAGCGCATTGACGGGGACTAAAATCGGACGTCAGTCGAGAACGCATTAAAACCTACCTACCAGCAAGTGTGAAGAGCCAACCAAAGTGCTAAAATTAAATTCAAGTTAATTATATAAAACAATTTTTGCTGTGAATATACGCACATAAACAATGGCTGGACAACATAATAAGCGAATGGTAAGTTTGCTACGAAAGTAAATACTTGGTATTTATATTAAAATGATTTTGGATTATTACTTACCAACATATCTTATATCAACTCCCTTTCAGGTCCTACTCAGCTGCAGTCTGGCTGTGTTTCTGGGTATTTCGGAGGCCCTGCCACGCTACAGTCGCCCCAGGGATCTGGGAACCGCCGCCAGCATCTCCAGTTTCGCCTATGCCCCACGGCCCCAGGAACCCCTGGCCCTGACTGGCAACTACAACCTGATCATGCCCGACTACTACGATCACCATCCGGCGGAGTCAATGCAGCTGCAAAACTTTGCCAACTTCTACGACGCCCAGATGAGTCCCGGGGCCGATCTTGGAATGGAGGAGTCTCAGTTCCTGGCCAACACGCCGGTTTATCGGCCTCCACAGCCCCTGACGGCCCAGGAGGAGCGCATCCGTCAGCAGGTGCCGCACGTGGATGTCGTGCGGGAGAAGAAGACCCTGCTCAAGCTGAAGAAGGGCAACACCCAGCCCAAGGGACCCGACCACCAGGAGTGGGACCAGTTCGACTACGACCTGTACAGCCTCAATCCCGGCGACAGCAAGAAGTACAACTACGACGTCTGAGCGACGTCTGGGAATGATGGCGCATTCTTGGCCTCATCGGATTATGTTTATGTTTTTGTTTTCTGTTAATTTAAGCTGACAAATAAATTATTTATTTATTGTAAATTGCAATCGGCTTTTGACCATTTCGATTGGAATGCTGCCCAAACAACTTTCTGTTGGAGACATCTAATGCCATATAATTGCTCAAGTCATTAACATTCACTTTATGGCCGAAAGCAGGGCAATTCCGGCCACTAAAACCAGGGGTGAGGTGATTCTGGCCATCTAAATTTAATTAATCTAAAGTGAGTATTGATTTTTGAATAAATATTTTAGTATTTGAAATTGTCTGAGATTTAAATATGAGCATACTTTAATCAATCCAGTCTGAATATTAGCTGTAAATTTAAAACGTAATTTCTATTATGATTCCACAGTACCAAACAAAAATATTGACACATTAAAAACAAACATTTGTCTCTACCAAATAGGAAATCCAAGTGAATCAGTTTATAAATAAATGATCGTGATTCTGTAAATCAAAGTCAACTTGTTTTAAGCCACTTTGGATACGTTGCGAGGGAGTATTGCCAATTTCGAGGGAGATTACTTAATCTGTGTTCAATTTATTTTTAAGATAATATCTTTTAAAACGCATTTAAATTAATTCCTTTTGAAGATCTGAGTTTCTTAGTTCGGTTTCAATATAGTAACTTTTTTATGTTTAATAAAAACACAATCACTTTGGTAAAACGTTTAACTTTATTACTGATCCAAAGCAAACCGGCGGAGTTCCTCGATCCGCTCAGCCGAAGGTTCAAAGAACGAGGGATCCACCACGACTTCCTTGTGGTGGGAAATACGACGCGGCTGAGGGCGGCTGGCATGGTAGGTGGCCACGGCAGCTGCATGGGATTCTGCATCCTCATCTCCACAGGCCTGGGACAGTGGCTGGGGATAGACACGGGGATTCAGGCGGTGCTTTCTAGGACGGTTCACTGCGGAGATCTCCTGTAGCTGATCACCGGAGGGGCCTCCATACAGGTAGCCATCGTCACCTTCGGCCACCACCAGGTTCAATGTCACCACCATCTGTCGGAGGGTTAAGCATTTGACGTCACCAGTCTAGAACTAGTTATGTCGCCGAATCAAGAGTTGTGATTACCAGAAAAGCTAACAGCAAACTCGTCTTCATGGTTCTAAATATGTCTCTTCGCTTCGGGCTTCGTTGACTGACTAACTTGCCGGTCTTCTGTGGATTGCTCATCTCTCCCTTAGAACCGATTATGAAATGATACAAACTGTTATGCCATATTGGAAGCATTAGAGAGCATAGTGAGAGAAACCTGTTGGTGAATCGAGTGTGTTATGCTTTGACATTGTGTGAAAACATCAATTAATTTTCCTTTATTTCAAGCTTGATTTTTAATGGGGATTTTGTTTTGGCTGAAGACTGCTAAGAACACTGGAAGAAATGGGAAGGAAATCAGTAGTGTATCTTTTTTATTTAAAACTCGGTGATTTTTGTAATGCCTTTATAGATTTACGATTAGTACATTAATTTATCAAGAAACCAGAAGAAACAAAAAAAAGTTACCAATAAAACCAAGTGTTTCTTGTCAATCCCGCTTCTATGAAATAGTGCTATATATCCTAATAGTGGCCCGTTCGATGCCTTTGTGAAACCATATGCTATTGAAGACGTACTCTCCTGGCGGCAAGGGCAGGACATCGGTGAAGTGTCGATTCAGATAATCAGTAGGAAGCTTTTCTATCACAAGGTCGTGCTGAAAAATAGTATTAAAATTATTAATGTATCGTATATATTTTTCATTTTCTTTCAACCCACATCATACGGACACGAGTGGTTCAAGTTGGTGTACTTTTTGCTAACATCATCAAAGAGCTCAAGCATCGGATTCAATATACTCTTCTTTCCGGTCTTAAATTTGCAAATATCGACAGTAACGTTCATAGTTATGGGCATAAAAGAGCGAAACCTTCGCAGGATCTGTAGACTTGCCTAATGAAAAGAACCCAATATTGTGGAATTTGTTATGTATAATTTTTTAGACACATACCGTTGCCTCATTAATGGGCAAGCTGTAAAAACGAGTCTTCAGGGATATGTACTTGTAGCTGCGATTAACTGATTTGATGTAACAGTACTCGAATTCGAAGAATTTCTTGTCCTTGGAGTTGCATTTAACATTGGTGAACTCAAGCTTCGAGGAGATCTGTTCTCAACAAGGAATAAACGTTTAGAATTTTATGATTTGTAATACAACTTACTTGAGTTATATCGTAGATTAATATAACCAGAAAAAATAATATAATTCCCTTGGAAAACATTGGTGTTCTTCAGTAAATCAAAGCAAACTGTTGTCATTTTCTAATCAAAAATCTATTAACTGATACTTACTGATCTGGAACCGAATTTGTTTTCAAATATCAAAAACCATGGCTCATTTAACAAACATTATTTAAAATTTTAAATTGTTAAGCCGGCAAGATAAGAAATATTTTCATTAAGAGTATTTAAAAAGCTATTACTATAGTGTATTAATATAAATATTTATGTTTTCATAGTTTCCCCAGTTGTAATTACTTATATTTATTGAATTTGTTATTTATTTTCTTCTATAGACTTAAAATCAAATCTATTTTTTGTTTACCCCACAGCTAAATAAATAGCTAAAATGTCTCACGAAATAAATTAAAATAACCCCCACTTACCAGTGTTTTATTAGCCTATTTTCATTCAAGCCAACCAAATATGTTTGGCACATGTTTCGCCCCATTAGCATAGCCGCATAAATGCATTTATAGTTTGGGCCCATTAATTTCTCGCCGTGCATGCGACTCTGGCTAATTAACATGCGATGGCCAATACGCAATCCCGGGTAATAAAACATCGCGGCGAGCCGATTAGGCAACGTCCAACAGATTGGCCAACAGCATTTCTGCTGAATCGCATCTCCATTCATTTCGGACCCACCTATGCCTACTTTTGGGCTTCCCCCAGTAATTATTCACCCGACTGGGTCGGCTTTTGTGGCTTAAAATGTAAACTTCGATCGATTTATTTACAACAATCAACGAGTATTGGCAACTAAGGGTAAAGACTAATAAATTCGATGTGAAATTCGGTGAGTGTTAAGATAGAGGGTTGGGACTTAGTTGTGGGGATACCTGGTGATGATCTGCTCCTGGCGCTCGGTGAGGCGGCGGTTCTTGGGCCGCAGCTGGTTTTGAGCATTGACAGCGGCTCCTGCGGGCACATAAACCACCTGCGACTTGAAGCAACCCTCCACTCGCGGCTGGGTGCTGGCCCTGGCCAGCTGCACCACCTGATTGTGGCCCTCGTCCACCTGGCCGGGACTCAGCTCCCTTCGCTCACAGTTTCCGCCGCCAGGGCAGTTGGTCACGAAGCGCTGGTAGTCCCTAGTATCGCCCGGAGAGGTCTGCTTGTAGTCATAACCATCGATTTGGGCGCTCTGCGCCTGGCCCACCTGGTCGCCCACTCGCGGGGCTGGCGGAGCTGAGCCAGTGGCTGCGATCAGCTGCACCTGCACTGGATTGGGTGCCACTCCAGAACCGTGTCCGGCATCGAGCACTTGCTGGCCAGTGCCGGTGGTCACCGGAGCATAAGGATAGGGATTGCCGAAGAACAGTTTCTGGGGCGGCGAAGGAGGCGGCCCGTACTGAGCCGGAGGCTGGGCAGCCACCGGTGGCGGACTGTAGTAGGTGGGAGTCTGTGTCTGCTGAGGCTGGTAGTAGGTCAGGGGCTGGGCCGGAGCAGACGGAGCTGGAGGAGCCTGGGAGTAAGTGGGTGCCTGGTAGTTAGCGCTGACCAGCAGGGGATTCTGGTAGGTGGTGGTGTGCAGCTGCTGCGGCTGTGGAACGGCAGCCGGGTAGGGATATGCCTGCTGCTGGGGAGGAGCCTGGTACAGAGCCTGAGGCTGCGGCACCTGATGCTGCTGCAGCACCTGGACATACTGGGTCTGGTGGTCTTCGTAGACGGTCGGGGCCCGCTGGGCCTCCAGGCCATAGGTGCGGCCCAGAGTTTGGACCGTAAACTTGGTGGACTGCTGGGTTTGTGGCAAGGGGGTTCCAGGGCCGAAAGGCGTCTGCGGTCGGTGGTAATGGTATTCCTGGGCTCCAACGAGGGCCAGCTGTGGGTTAAACAAAATATCCAAATATCCTTGAGTTAGGTTAGTCCCGGAAGAAGGTCCTTTGGTAGCTCACCATCGAGAGCAGCAGCCAGTGCGGGGAAGGCATCTTGTTTGTTGGTCACTCGGTGCGTTGTGGGCTCGTCGCCGGCTGGCAGCTAAATGAGCTCTGGCAGGGCATACACCCGCGAAGGCAACCCGCGAAGAAGATCACTCGAAAACTGGTTTCAAATCTCAAAAAACTAAGCTTGGCTCTGGTGAAGCTGGGTCTGAGACTGGCTCCGGCTATGGCTATGGCTTTGATTTGTTGTAACAGTTTGAACATTTCATAATTTCTTTTCCCCATTTATTGTGTCTCTGCAGCGTCGTTTATTTGTTTATGTTTTTCCGCTCTGCCACTCGAGCGCTCGTTGGCCGCTTGCGGCACCATTCGACTATCACTCACGCAAATTTTGTCATAATTAAAGTGCCAGCTCTTGCTGCGCTGGCTGCTCTTCATTGTCTGCCTGCATTTCTCCACGCACTTGGAAAAAAACGTATTCCAAGATGTTAAAAAACCACATAATTACTTCTTATTCATGTGGGTTTTCTAAGAAAAAAAGGGAAACAAGACAAAAGTGGTCATTTTGGAAAAGTAATTGCCTTATTGTACACAACTATTTGAGAAGGGTTTTTCGGATATATATTGTTTATAAATAAACTGGTTCATTTTAAAGGGGAATACTAGGTTTGTAAGCTGTTACCATAATAATAAATTTAATATTTTTGGAAATACTTGAAAAAAAGGCAAAAATAAAGTCATTGTGATACTAAAAACCATTTGAATATATATAACAATTAAATAAGGAAGAAGTTTTTCTATAAAACTTTGAACTGTATCAATATCTGTCTACAAATAATACAAGAGCTTAGCAGATAATAATAAAAGTTGACTTCTTAAGACTGTTGATTTATGGTTTAAGCAAATAAGAAATTATTAAAATAGCAATTATAATATTAATAATACAATTTTCAAAAACATTTTTATTTCAGTGTCTAGGGCCGTGAAAATGTTTTTGGCCTTTCCGCTTTTAGCCACTTCAGTTCGGTTCGCCTCGGCCTGGGCCAAGTTTAATGTAATTTAATTTGCTTCGCATCATCTGGCCTGGCTTTCTGCGAAGCGAGTTATGTTGAAGCCCGGTGAAAAGTAAAAGTTGGATCTTGACTCGGATCTGCATAGATACATATGTATGTATAAAGCCCTGCTGATGGATTGCTCAGAGTTTGCAAATGACTTGCCTAACTGGCGAATTATAAAAATCGCATAAACCCATTTAAGTCTATTTTGGGGTGCGGTTTCTCGATCGCTCAATGTTTGCCCAGCACTAATGCTCATATAAGTGTTGATATATGGCCATTGTTTGAATTATGTGGGAGATTTAATGCTGCTTTAATTGAAGGCAATGGACAGTGTTTAGAGAAGAGAAACTGCATTTAATCGGTGGCCGTGTGGTAACTATAGTTGGCTGTATCTTTCTTTGTCGTTTCGCACATAATTAGGCTAAGCAGACGAGCTCATAAATATTCAATAAGCCGGTTGATTTGATTTGATTTATTTCGAGCCATTGCAACAGCCATTCGACCGGATTAAGCGATTGACACGCACCAGAAATGTTTCGGATTTCGAGCGCATTAAAGGAGGCCTTTATGGTGACTTTGATATTTGCTGCGAGATGTCAGCGGCTTTGTTTCTGCGTTTCCGTTTGACGACATCTGCTGGTTGCGCCTGCAGCACAATTCCTTGGCAATTGCCTTCGTCCGCAGTGGTAGTCCTGCGTGCGCAGTTTCCCCGCTCCTTGGCCGCCATTTCGGCCGTAATTCCGAACGCGGGCTAACGTCAATCAAAGACGCGCCCTGTTAAATGCACTTGACTGCCACTTGACACAGCAAATGTTGCTGGCGTGGCTCCGGCGTCAAACAAAACATCTTGGCAAGCCAACACTTGACATTCGCCATGAATGCAGTCATGCAGCGTTGGCCGGCGGGGGCGGTACACTAAGGGAAAAGGATGGTTGGTTGAGGAGAAAGGTAATAAATTAAGACTGCATTTTGTCAATGTAAAGTGAAATTATTATAAGTAGCTTTGGGTTCATCATTATGATTTCTTTACATTTTTACCAAAGCTAAGCTTTTCTTACTTTTATTTTCTCAGTGCACTTATAACGCACATAGAGCACGGCCCGCTGTCACAGATGGAGACCCAGATGCAAATGCAGATGCGGTGGCTTATCGCGCCGACACGAAAGCAGGAGATGCTTCATAATGCAAGTGGCCAATGCTGCGTATACGCAATCTGCTGCAGTCAAGTCTCGAGAAGGATGAGTGTCTGATGGGGGGTTTGTATGAGTGCCTGGGTAGCTGGAGGGGAGAGGTTTACCCACCTAAAGAGTGTGGGTGCGTCTGTGAGTTGTCTGTCTTTGCTGCCTGTTTGCATTCAGTGCAGTTCGTGCATTCAGGGTTATGAGCCCCGGCAAGTATGCATGCAACCTCCGAGAAGATAGAGCACGTGCAGTGGGTAAGCGTGCTTTTTTTTCAGTTTATATGTTTCCCACACCCCCAGTCCCCTCCATACAAAGCGTCACTTTAGACACCTGCCCATGTACAAAGTTGGCCTTTCAACGCCTTCGCCGCTTTGTTGCCGACTTTCGGGCTTTAGTTGCAGCCTGCTGGGGGATCTGCTTAATTAGGCGCACCTGCCAGGGCAGCGGCAAATTAGTAGCAGCCAGGTTGAATGACCTATGGCACAACGGTTAAGGCCGAAAACAAAAAATGAAATACGGAAAGTAAAGAAAGAAAGGCTGGGCGAGGCCAGGCTTTAAGCACTAGGCGGCAAACAATGCAACAGAGGTAGGAAGCTCGGCAAAAAAAAGGCAAAGAAAAATCAATTGCATAATGGCGCATGTGTTGCGCAGAACATCAGCAACATCAGCAGTAGCAACACCAGCAGCAGCAGCAACACCAGCAGCAGCACAAATTTGCAACTCTTTTTCCATTTGCACGTTGCAAGACAAAAACGTGCAAAAAGAGTAGAAATTCAACCACCACTTCAAGCAGCGATTTTTGCAATATTTTTTGTATTTTTTGTTAACTGTCGCAGACACACACTCACACACATTGAGAGCGGGTAGACATGTGTGTGTGTTTGGCAGCTTTTGTTTGCACCCGCATAGGAAGCCATTTAAGTGCGGCTTCTTGAGAAAATTGCAGCCAGAGCGGACACAGAACGAAACGCAGACAGAGAGAGAGAAAGATGAGGCCCTTCGAGGACGTCACTAACGAGCAACCCCCAAACCACCCAGAACCCCACCCCTTCCATAATTAACAGCAGCAGGAGCCACAGCAACAGACACGGCAACGAGGGCTTAGCTTAGCTCCCTTGTGGGGCCTATCATTTCCTGGGGAGACAGCTCAAAAATGGTAAAAAACAAAGCGAGGCAGCAGTCTACAGTCCAAAGTCACGACTGTGAAATACCCAATAATAGCTGGCCATTCAAAAAAGTCTAGCAAATTCAGGCATCACTTGAATACATTGATAAGATTTTATTCAACTTTCTATATGATTTAAAAAATAATAAAAATCAATTCAGTGGCCTAGCATACCCTTGTCCTCCCCAAAGTACAGGGTACAAATACCCAAAGAGGGCGATGGCTTAGACGAGGGCGGCTGGAAACCTGGTCGGTGCAAAAGCCTTTGGCTTGTTGGACGACTCAAGCGCCTTAATAGGCTTAGCAGCGAGTCAACTATCAAAACAAGACCGATAAAAGTTGAGCTCCTCCTCGAAGCACCCGCTCCGTGGGTCCAGCATAATGCCTGAAATACGTACAGCTCTCCGGCGACTATATACACTCGTACACTCGTGTACACACAATGTGTGGTGGGTAAAAACTTTGCCTATATGATATGCTCTCATGCTCCAGATGACGAGCCCCGAATGCTTTGTCAACGCATGCCACATGGAATATTCATTGGTGGGTGGAGCGGGTTGAGGCGGGCCAAGGCGGACGCTGGGGAGTGCGGCGGGGGCGTGCCACAGTTTATGGCACGTTTGTGCCGCAGCCAGCTCTCATTATGTGGCTGCCACCGCAAGTACGTGCCCCGGCCAGCCTCTGAAGACCATATAGCTCATACGACCCGTAAGCGGGCCAAGCCATCCGTTCAGGAGTCAGTCTGATCCCGATTGTGAGTCACCACCTTTCCGGCTTCACTCCGAAGGCCTTTGTTTTGTAATTTTCCTTTGATTACAATTTTGTAAATCCTATATTAAGGCTTATTTGCTTATTTTAATCTTTAGTAATTAAGGAAAATAATTTTAAAAATGGTGAACAAGAATATATGTAATGTATGTGGTCAAAAATGACCCCTTCACTGCTTTGCAAGCCACTGACTAAAGTTATAGTACCCTTCAAGGGTATAATAAGCTACTATGAAATGCTATTTAATTAAATTCGCAAAGCTGTCCCGTCCTTTTCGGTTTCATCACCCAATAGTTTCCAATTATTCCGATTAGTCTGCCTTGCTGTGTATGGATTTGCATTATTAACACTCCCAATCGACGTAATTTGGATCCTAGTAGACCCACCCACCAAGGTCGGCTGGAGGGGCATGCCACCCGCTCTACTCGCTTTCGGCTGCATCAGCAGACGAGAAAGTTCCAGTGGAGCTGCCACGGCGAGATGTTGCTGATGACAGCAGCAATATCATCGGCAGTGGCAACATCAGCAACTGCCTCTCCCCGGATTTGTTTGCAGTCACTCGCATGTGTCATCATCAGCGGCTGAGATGATGAAGCACAAAATATGCCCAGGCTCGCTCGTAACTAAGCCGACTGACTGCCAGGCTCGCTAAAAAAAAAGAAGAAATTAAAATATAAAAAAAATTGCACAAACACACAGAATCAAGCACACACACACACCCAAGCAAACAGACAAATGAGGACGCCGGCGGTGACATGATAGCCTGTGAACGTCTGCCGTCTGTCCTGTGCACTAAAAAAAAAGAGTTATGATTAAATCAGCAGTTAGATTTTAATTGATTCAAAATCAATTAAGCTTATAAAAACATTGAAAATTTAGATGCATTTTCAGTTCTAAGATAATGTTATAATATTTATA